AAACGATGTACAAATGCGCTTTACACAATTGATGTGTGTATGGATTGAGATAACAGTTGTATGAGCCCCTAATAAAATGTTTAAAAAAAATGTTAAAAAAGAAAAAGAAAATATACCAAAACCTTTAAAAAAAGAAAAAAAAAAAAAGAATTGATTGTGAATGCACAAATCATTTTAAAGGGGATTTAGCCATGGTGGTGGGGGCGGTAATGCTTTAAGTTAGAGGTGGTGGTGATTGTGTGATTCCCCATAATATGAATGAAGATGGAACTACTCAATTGTATGATATGTAAATGATGTGCCAATAAAACTTGGGAAAAAAAAAAGAACCAGTGTTTAAAAATAGAACTAGTGTTTTTACTGTTTTGATATATTATTTCAAACAATCTTATGTGTACATGTTCACATGTCTGTCAGTGCACATATTCGATGGTTTTTTTTAGAGTAGATGCCAAGAAATGAAATTGCTAGTTATGTACAGTTTTATTTTTAATAAGTACTGTGAACCAGCCCTCCAAAATGCTTGTATCAAATTACATTTCAACTATAGCCCTCGTGACATTGTAAGCTAAGTACTGGATGCTAGCCACTAGGTGTCAGCAGTTCAAATTCACCAGTGGCTCTGAGGAAGAGGTGAGGAGGTCTGCTCCTATTAAGATTTAGTCTCTGAAACCCTTAGGAGCAATTCTACTCTGCCCTGTCCGGTTAATATGAGTCTGAGTCAACTCAATGGCAATGGGCTTTGGATTTTGATTTTTGTTGTTTATTCATGACCACAATAGACTTTATAAAACAAGTTAAGGTCTGCATACCTAATAGGTGGGAACTAGGTACCGTGTTGGTTTAATCTGCATTTCTCTGTTGTCTTGGGGTGGGTTATCTTGTTATATTTAACAATCCTTTGCCTTTTATTTTATGTAAATTGCCTTCTTATCCTTTATTTTTCATTTGTCTCTCTGTAAGAATTGCTATATATCTCATTACTATATATTCTAGATAGCAATCTTTTACTCATTCGGTCATTGTCTTCTAACTTCGTTAATGTCATACAAAATATTCTTAATTGTGATATAGTACATTTATCAATTTGCCTTTTCCTACACCAATTATAATTACTATATTTTGATAATGCTTAAAATGTTTTGGGTGAGAAAAAAAGTTTGAAATTAGATATGATAACTGCTCAACCTTTTGAATCTATAAAAACCACTGAAACCACTTTAAAATGGTGGATTTTATAGCATGACAATTTTACCTCAATAAAAAGTTAAATAAGCATTTTGATACCTATTTAAGACATATACATCTCCTTTAGTATTCAATTAAAATTTTGTTGCTTTAAATTTTCTAATGCTAAACCATTATATTTCATAGGAAAATGATAGTTGGTCATGATATATTATTTTAGTATTACACTGCTAAAATTGACTTAATTTATTTTTACTCTTGATATTGATGTATTTTTTTCTTCTTTCATTATCCTTGTCCTTGATGTTGGTTTTACTGTCACAGTTCAATCTGACTTATAGTGACCAAAATTTATTTATTGGGTCATTTCTCAACTTTCTATACATGTAGTCCCGGATTTACATGTAGTTCATTGTATTTAAGTTACAATGAACTACCACTAAAGGTTTGTTTGTTTTTCCTTCACATCTTATTGCTAATACTATGTTGGAGTATGTAATTTGCAGCTGTTATCATTCTCAGTTGTTCTCTTGCAGATGATTCCAACCCCCAAAGACAAATAAAAGATGAGATTTACAAAGATACTGATAATAAACAATGATTCTAATGCAGAACTGACTTATAAGAGCATTGTCTGAATGGAATTTTGTTAATTGAGGACTACTGTACTCTGGAATCATTTGTATATGACCATTTAATTCAGTGATTCTCAACTAGAGTGGTTTTTCTTCCATGGGGCATTTGACAATGTCTGGAGACACTTTTGATGGTCATAACTGGGATGTGCAGTAATGACAGGGGAACTTTGCCTATGGTAGGCAAAGGTCAGGACAACAATGAATTATTTGACCAAAATGTCCATAGTTCTGAGGTTGAGAAACTCCTATGTAATTTTTAAATTTTTTATAGAATTAACCTGAGGGGGGGGGGACATCTAAAGGATTCTGAGGTCAAGGGTGGGGTGGAGTAAAGAGATACAGTAGGAAGAGGAAAATCTACATTTGCTTACATTTGTTTTTATTCTATTGGTATTTGTTTTTGTTTTATCTCTTTTTCAATCTATTTAGCAATTTATATTGCCCTAGAAAAGATCAGTGGTTTTCAACCTTCCTAATGCCACGACCCTTTAAAACAGTTCCTCATGTTGTGGTGACCCCCCACAAAATTATTTTTGTTGCTACTTCATAACTGTAATGAACGGGCGACCCCTGTGAAAGGGTTGTTAGACCCCCAAAGGGGTTGCGACCCACAGGTTGAGAACTGCTGCCCTAAAGAATTTACCAGTTCACTGATATTTTCAAAT